TATGTAAACCTTGTAATTAGAACGTATGTAGTATTTTTTTATAAATAAAACATTATTACCATTACTGTTATTAGTAAAGGTCACAAGGACTGCTTCCTCTCAAGACGGCACCTGGCGGTTACAGCGTCAGCTGGTCTGTCTAAAGTATGGTTCCGACTGTCTCTTTTATCTCCTAGCTGTTTCTTCTGTCTCCAAACTGTCTATTGTATCTCCCAACTGCTTCTTCTATCATGTCTTTTTCTGTGTTGTGTAACGTATCTGTCGGTTATTGAATCATTGTAACGTTCAGACGTTTTTATTAATTCACAAAATAATGGGGTAATAATCTCTCTCTCTCTCTCTCTCTCTCTCTCTCTCTCTCTCTCTCTCTCTCTCTCTCTCTCTCTCTCTCTCTCGCTCTCACTCTCAGTATTAACTGCCCTCCAAAACCTTCAGTGTATAAATCCCGCCCGCATCTATAGTGTATAACTTCTGCATCAGATGCAAATAACCTTCATTTGCAAAATACATATAATGGAAAGAGTTTGATGTGATGTACGTAGACGGTAACGTGTGTAGACGAAATAAAAGTTTTCCATAATCCCCTTTAGAATGCCCAAAATATCAGAGCGTATATATTTAGGGTGAAGCGGACTCTTGAAATAGAAGCATTTTCATTGTTCCTCGTGTGGTGCCTGTGAGCACTCCTTGCAGCTGTAAAAGGCTTTTAGAGGTCAGGATTTGTATAACAGTCTAAGGCTTTAAAGGTGAAGAATATGTGTATTCTGTATTGAGTATCTTTATCTATAATATAACGTTGGTGCATGTTACACTTTTGATGGATTTATATGCAAAGAATTTTCAAACTAAATACAATCCAGTAGATGGCCAGAGACAGTCTGCAGATCCCAAAATATATGTCAAGGAATATCAAATAGATTACATCTGTAATTTAAAAGTTGATACGTTAGGTTTCCCAAACAATTGTACTCCAACAGAAAGTTTAAGACTAGGCTTCGGTGGAGAGCATTTTTTTATGTTAAATAGACCTCATAATATTCTGAGTCCAAATATACTCGTGTACAACTATATATATAGTTGTATATAAGGTCTCTATACTATATACAACTATATATATCTCGACCTTATATACAACTATATATATAGTTGTATATAAGGTCTATAAGTTGAGACCTTAATAGTTGGGGGATTTTGTGAAACAAAAATAACTGGTTTAAATGACTTGTCATTCTCCTCTCGCCCTGCCTGGGAGTCTTACTCTGGTCCATTTGGTTGTGAGCCAAGTGCACTACTAACACTGATTTGATTAACATAATTAAGTACATTTGGTTATTTAATTTGTGATTATTACTATTATCATCAAAAGTTAGATAAAGTTACGGAAATTGAGGCTATTCCCTATTAATCCTAGTTGTGCAGTTGTGACGTATTATGTACGGCACACACACACACACGCGCACGCATTCACTTCCTTATGCATTCTGATGGAATGCATTAGGAAGTGATGTGGTGGAGGCTGACTCTATACAGTTTCAAATGTAGATAGATAAATGTAGATATGATTCCTGAGTCCAATAGGCTCAGGAATCTGTACACCAGTTGAGAGGCGGGACCAAAGAGCCGAAGCTCAACCCCCGCAAGTACAACTAGGTGAGTAAAAACACACATGCAGGTGGGGTCAAAGGCAGAAAGGCGGGGTCCAAGAGCTAATAGCTCGATTCTGCAGAAACAAATACAAACAAATAAATAGTAAATACACTGAATAAATAGTTTAGTTAATCTTAATGGACGCGGGCTCTTTTTTTGTTATTGTACTTCAAACAATACAGAAATTTCACCAGCCTGTAATAGGTCAACCTGTAATACTGAGATCAATCCCGGGAAGGAAATAGTTATGCAGGGGCAAGATTAGTTTAATTGTTACGTGGAAATACATTACAATAGATTAGTGTATCGGTCTGATGTATCTGACAGAAATGCTAAATATAGATTGGTGTGTCTGTCGTATGCTAAATAACATATAGATAAATATAATAAAACCATCAAAATAGGAATTTCCAAAAGAAGTTACTAATATCTTAGATACTCCTAAATAGCCATTGTTTACAGATACATGAACCAAACTAAACCCCCATTGTGTAAACGTCTGAATACCCAGCTCTACGTATTTTAACCATTGTTGTGAATTTGTATTTTATACTATATAAAAGGCTTTTATACGCATTTGTCGTTAAGTGAAGCAATAACATAAATTGCCATATTCTTATATGATCTTTTCTCTGGTGTTCTTTACTTGTGAAATTACATTCAACCCAAGTTATATACTATTGACACTAAATTTATTGATTGAACTTAAAATAGTGCAAATATTTTGTTTCGTAATTGGATTATATTTAACTATTGATTAATTTAATTAACTAGGGTTCTTGGTTGTACAGTCTGGTACGTTCTCAACGCACAATCGCAACCCTTCCTTAGACCAAGTCTATTCCATCTAGCGGTCAACCCCCAAAGACGCATTCATAAATTTTAACATTCTTTTCATTCAAAACAGAACTTTTCTCAAAAATAAATTAATATTATTATGTATTAGCATATTGTGCATATTTAGGCACTGGTTAGGTTAGGTTAGGTCAGGTGTTTAGGTTCAATTGGCGATTATTTGTATTTGTAGTACGTGGGTGAATCATTTACAGCGTTGTGGATCGAACAATAGTCGTCAGCGAAACACTTGTTCCGGAAGTGTTCGGACGTCATCAGTTGTGAGTCGTGTGTAAACCGTTTTTCGTTCATAAACCAGCCCGTCCTCCAAACAAAGATCCAAAAGTGATTCCATGTACCCGCCAAACCCCCTGTTTATGAATGAAAAACGGTTTACACACGACTCACAACTGATTCCGTTCGAACACTTCCAGAACAAGTGCTTCACTGACGAATTTTGTTCGAACCACAACGCTGTAAATGCTTCACCCACGTACTACAAATACAAATAATCGCCAACAGAACCTAAACACCTAACCTAACCTATATGCCTATATATGCACAATATGCTAATATATTATAATATTAATTTATATTTGAGAAAATTCCTGTTTTGAATGAACAGCATGTAAAAATTTATGAATGCGTCTGTGGGGTCGACCTCTGGATGTAATGGACTTGAGTCGAGGACGGGTTGCATAAACAGGGAGTTTGGCGGGTGCATAGAATAGACTTTGGCCTTTGTTTATGAGGACGGACTGCACAATCGAGAATTCCAGGTTCGAATTTCGGGCGGAACTGAAATGGTTGGGTGTGTTTCCAATCACCTAATTCATCTGTCCACCCAGCAGTAAATAGGTACCCAGGATTTTTTTTATTTTTTTTTATTTTTATTTTTTTTTATTTTTATTTTTTTTTTTATTTTTATTTCTTTTATTATTTTCTACCACAGACGTGGCCACACATTTACCCAGGATTGTGGGGTTGCATCTTGGGGAGTCAGTAATTTGACCTTGGTGGCCCCCCCCCCCCACCAAGGTCAAAATTACTGACTTTGATATAAGCTTAACATATACTGTATGTATAATCTGGCTGCCTGTCCTTCTCCCCCCCCCCCTCCGACAAAAGGAATTATTATTATTAGTAATAATTATGTATATTTTGTTTGTGCTATAACTGCCACCACGGGACCCTTGGCCCTGCCCCGTGTAAATAAACAATCGTCAACACTCCCTAACCCAGGGGATGTATTTCCATCAAACTGTAATAAAAGATTTTTGGCGAGGTGATTCATAAGTAACCTTTAGCATTTACAAATGGGGGTGACAAGCCGCCGGCTTCCAGTCCTCGTCGATGCCACTAGAGAAATACGGGTCCTAAGGTAAATTTCAGGTACTTTGAACAAAGTAGTACAAAAGTTTATAATCACATGGTTACAAAGTTGGTTATTGAGCGTAGCATTAATTTTGGGGTGTCAGTAGTACAGTGGGTACGTTTTCGACTCAAATTGCAGAGGATCCTGGGATGTATCCCTGGACGGGACAAAAATGGGACGATGGATCCCCGGACGGGACAAAAATGGGACGATAGATCCCCGGACGGGACAAAAATGGGACATTGAACAAAAACAACACAAGAACAGAGAAGGATTCATATGTAACATAGATACAGTGCCTAAAGCCATTAATACTCAGAGCGTTGCGGCACTGATTACTTCATTATATCAGGACCTACAGACACCAGCACCTCAGTCATGTCTTGCGGAGCTGAGTACAGTCGAGGATAACAAGGAGTCACTCGCAGTTAATGTGTCAACTTCGTATTCATAAAATCGTTGGAGTGCAAGGATTATGGCAAATAAATCTGTGTGAAGAGTGGAGGCGCAGTTGTTAATAGGAGCACCATACTCATAGAAACAGGAGCCATCTCCCGCTGTCACAGCAACTGCACTAATGGCTGCGCCATTAAATGGTGCAAGGAGTCTTCAGTGTAAATAATTTGGGAGAGGGAGCGCTCTCTCACCGCAGCGTTAATTTGGCGTAACTCATTGTTCTTAGCTTCCTGTCGAAGCTTGGCTTGTTCTTTAATCAGCTTATTGGGTGGGAAAGAGAAAATAGTAGTTTGGAAAAGGATGATCTATGCATTCATGCAATTTTTAAATAGAAAAATAAAAAATCTAAACAATCCGACATCTATTGGATTATGAAGTGGAACCGACATGAAGGGAAAGCGGGCTGAGGCTGACCAGGTGACATCTGGTAAACACAAGTAAAGCGACAGCAACAACACACGGAAGTGGTCGTGGTCGTTCCTTCATCCCGTCGCTGCCTTTCATTCCAACAATAACCACTATCACGCAAATTGCTTCTGTCGTAAAAGAGGAGGTGTGTATAAATTAAAATTTTCCAAGATGGTGAGTTTATTGGGTATTGTCACTTATACAGTGAGGACTCTAGTCTAGCCTTGACGCCGAGCAGACGTCTTATCTCGTCTGCTCTTCCTGGGGACAGCCTGACAACGTGCATATTCTTCAGATTTAACGTATTGTATAATAAAAAAATGATTGTTTTCTCATATATTAGTTCTGTTTGTGATTAAGGGCAGGTTAGGTTTTAGGTCTCCTGGCAATTCAGCAGTCTCCGTGGTGTAGTGGTAAGACACTCGCCTGGCGTTCCGCGAGCGCTAAGTCATGGGTTCGTATCCTGGCCGGGGAGGATTTACTGGGCGCAATTCCTTAACTGTAGCCTCTGTTTAACACAACAGTAAAATGTGTACTTGGATGAAAAAACGATTCTTCGCGGCAGGGAATCGTATTCCAGGGACCCTTAGGATTAAGGACTTGCCCGAAATGCTACGCGTACTAGTGGCTGTACAAGAATGTAACAACTCTTGTATAAAAAAAAAAAAAATTATTTTCTTTTGATGTATATAGGTGGGTGAAGCATTTACAGAGTTGGGGTTCGAACAGATGTCATCAGCAAAACACCATTCGAGAAATGTATGACTGTCATCGGTTGTGAGTCCCATGTAAAGTGTTTTCCACTCGGCACAGTTTGGCAGCTGGATTAATGAGCATTTAACTTGGTGTTGATGAAAATGGCTGTGATGGTCTGCTTTCAGCCTCTGATACTGCTTTTGAGTTCAATAGATTCTTCTCTTCCATTGGGTCATCCCTTGCAAATGATATTCCATCTTCCAGTACTAATATTCAGGACTATCTTACAGGTAACTATCCACAGTCTCTGTACCTAATGCCTACTAATTCCACTGATGTTACTGACATAATCCTTTCCCTTAAAACCAAGTCTAGTGCCCTTGAGGAGATACCAACTCTAATTTACAAAAAAGCCTCCAGATCTTTAGCTCCTGCTATTGCATTGCTCTTCAACAAGTCACTTGAACTCCAAACCTTTCCAGATATTCTAAAAAAAAGGGAGAGTAACCCCTGTCCACAAATGTGGTGATCCCACTGATGTCAACAACTTCAGACATATCAATTCTGCCAAACTTGTCAAAAATATTTGAAAAACTAATATACAAGTAGCTTTACTCTTATCTAATCAAACTCAATATACTTAGCTCTTGTCAATATGGCTTCAGACCCCAAAAAAGCACTAACGTTGCACTTATTAGTATGATTAACTTGATACATGCAGCTCTTGATAAAAATGAGTTCCCTGTTGGGTTATTTGTGGACCTGCAAAAGGCTTTTGACACTGTCAACCACTAAAACCTTCTTCTTAAATTACAACATTATGGAGTCAGAGGTCATTCCATGCAATACCATAAGTCTTACCCTACTGACAGGCTCCAGTATGTTTCTGTGAATAATTCTATTTCTTCCTCCCTACCCTTCAACATTGGTGTTCCCCAGGGCAACATACTTGGCCCTCTCCTCTCTCTCATCTACATTAATGACCTTCCAAATGCCTCCCAACATCTCAAACCAATTCTATTTGCTGACGACACGACCTTCATTTACTCCAGTCTTGACCCCCTTGCTCTAAATGTCACAGTGAATACTGAGCTAAATAAAGTCCACCACTGGCTAATTGCCAACAAACTCACCCTCAATATTGACAAAACTATCTATACTTTGTTTGGCACTAAATCCTCAAATCAAATAAATCTCAGGATAAACAATGCCCAAATTTGTAACAAAGTAGATGGCAAATTCCTTGGCGTTCTCATTGACCGCAAGCTGAATTTCCAGGGACACATTTTAAATATATCAAAAAAGTTTCAAAAACTGTTGACATTCTTTCTAAGATCAGATATTAGGTACCTTGCCCTGCCCTGGTGACACTATTACTCTCTCATCTATCCTTATCTCAACTATGGTATTTGTGCTTGGGGTTCTACTACCCAAAATCATTTACGTCCTCTAATTACTCGACACAAAGCTGCTATTAGGACAATATCTAACTCTGGCCCCAGACATCACTCAGTACCCTTACTCAAATCTCTGAATATGTTAGATATTAAGTCGCTGCACATCCTCTCATGTGTATTTTATATATATATAATGCTGAATTGTAATGTGATTCCAGACCTTAAGAGCTTCCTAGAAGGTTGTAACAGATCCCATGAGCACCACACCAGAAACAAATACCTATTTGATATTCCAAGAGTACGACTTAATCAAACTAGAAATGCTTTACAAATCAAGGGACCCAAAATGTGGAATGACCTTCCAAATTATGTTAAAGACTGTACCTCTCCCAACCAGTTTAAGATAAAAACTAAGTACTACCTAATTAACTCCATGTAACCTACCTCACCTCCAAAATGTCAACCCATGTCTACTATTTTAAACAATGCTGTTTGTTGACCAAATTGTATTTTTACTTTTTTTCTGCCATGTTTTTCCCCCCTTTTTTTAAAAAAAATTTTCTCAACACAATTTATACTTTAATCTCAATTAGTATTATGTTTTAGTCTGTTTTTCCTGCCCGAAACACTTTACGTAATAGTGGCTTTAGGCATTGTATATACTAGCTCTATCTATAAATCCATCAACTTTTTGTATCTCACCTTGTATGTATGTATGTACTTTGCCTTAATAAATATTTAAATTTTAATTTTGAATTTGAATTTGAATTTTGCCCATTAGGGCTCGATACTGCCATCTGGCATTCTTCTTTAACTGCACCATTATCCTCTATTTTAAGAATGGCTCTTTGGGTGGAAGGATGGTGTCCGGAGCTGGCTAGGTCAGGAGGTGCATTGTGTTGGCTGGTCCTTGGAGTCCTTGGAGCATAGTGGGCATCTGCCTCTTGCCTCAAAGGAGGTTCTGTTGGACACTCCTGAATTTTATGCCCACCTGTGCTTGAGTTTATAAGAGGCCATACCGATTTTGCTGTCAGACTTCAACTGTGCTGAGCTGTCCTGTGTTTGTAGGACACTTGACACATTTGTTGTCTGAAGGTCACTGGGTGTCAAGATACTTCCAGTTAGTTTTCTGGGTTGGGCAGGGGTGTGGTCGGCACTCTCCAGCACAGGTCACCAGGTACTGACCTGAGTGTATACCAGCTGCAAGGTAATGTTGTAAGTGAACAATGTATACTCTTGGCTTAGTTTTCCCCAATGCCAGAATTACTGGATACATATTGTCCTGTGCTGTGGCTGTCCCTAACCCTTAATAACTTATCCTGAGAGTGAGCATATCATTGAAGCAGTAGTATTGAAAAAGATCCTCGGCCAATGACCTCGCATACATTGGAGTACAGTATGTATAGAGAACAAAATCTTTTATTTAGGTTTAGTTAGTATAGTTTAGTTTGAAGAATACATAGAATGACATGTTTTGGTCCCTTTTTAAACCTTACTAACCATAGCAGTATAGGGGTCGTTCAATGCCAATTCATCAGCTCCCAACCCGACCATCTCAGATTTATATGAAATTTGGTACAATGCTAGAGTACATGAAGTACCATAGTACACATGCAAAATTTTAACCATCAGTTGTGCACAATATTCACACAGCAGGGTTGCCAATGTGAAAAACAAATAAAACATTTTTGCAACTTTGACTGAAACTTTCACAAAGGACTATATGACAATAATATATGCATACCAGATTTCAGTCTTTTTAGATGTGATAGAAAACATAGGCCAACATAGGGTGGGGTCAGCCTATACATCAAAGACACCTTCATCTGCACAGAGCTGTTAAACACCACAAATGATATGGTGGAATTGCTGATATTCTAAATTAAAAATCATAAATGTGGTGATTGTCCTTATACTGTATATGATTCACCAGATGCAATTCCTCAGCAGTTTAAAGACCAACTTAAAAAATAGAATACTGTCTAGAAAACCTCACAAACCCTGCTCCAAATATCATTTTGTTTAACGACCTCAACTTACGGCACCTAAAATAGGAAAATGTGGTAAATAGTTATATCAGAGAGAGTCCTAGGAATCTGTTTAAGTGAACTGTCACACAGATAACCTCTTGCAAATGTGGGATAGATTTGCCTTAAACCAGCAAATAGTAGAACCAACTGAGAAAGAAAACACCTTAGACCTTATTTTTACAAACAATAATGAACTGATTAGAGACAATGATTACAAATACATGTTACTCAGATAACAACCTAATTGAAGTTCAGACATGCATGAGAAATATACCTATATAATCAGCCTCAAATCCAAGAGGAGGGGAATTCGGCAAATTCATTTTCAATAACAAACAGGTTAACTGGGAGCAAATGAATCAAGCCTTCAGAGAAATATACTGGAAAAGACAGCAAGATAATACAAACTTCAATCAGTACCTTGAGAGAATAGGCACAATAACACTATAAATATGTTCAAGTCACATGCCACCAAGGAGAGGGAAGGGGAAGGAACTGTTAATGTAAAGCACCAAACCATAATGATTTATGGAAAAGAGGAGCTGGATAATAAACGAGAGTCTTATAACAGTAACGAGAGAGATTATAGTGGTAGCGGATAAAGATAGATAACGACTGTTGCTAGTCGGTGACTTCAACTCCAAATCCATTGACTGAGAGACATATGAAGCCAGAACAGAGGACTTTTTGGACCTGTAGATTTGTGAAGCTTATCCTGGAAATGTGCATGTATCAACACATTATACAAGCTACGAGGATGAGGGAAGGGGATGTTCCCTCAATGCTGGATTTGATATTTACGAGGAAAGAGTAGGAGATATTTGGTATTCAGTACCTTCCTTCCTTGGGTAAAAGTGACCATGTCTTTTTGGGAATAAAGTATGCAATGCATTATAATCTGGAAGAAAATGAGGATGTTGAAGCAGTTGAAAAACCTGATTTCAGGAGAGGACATTATGGGGAACTTAGAAATTTCTTTAAGGAATTTGACTGGTAAGACTTGCTGTTAGGCAAAGACGTAAATAAGATGTATGTCAAGTTTTGTGAAATATATGATAAAGGCACAAACAAATTTATACTAAAGCAGAAATGCAGAACTAGGAAATAGGATTTATTCAATAGAAATTGCAAGAAGGCCAGAGACCAAAAGACTCAAAAGTGGAATCATATAAGAAGAGGCCAAACCCCCCAAACATAGCAGTGATATAAAAATGTGAGAAACAACTACACATCAGTGAGGAGAGAGGCTGAAAGAATTTGAGAAAGCGATAGCAGACAAATGTAAAACAGAACCAGGCCCATTCTGTAAATTCATCAACAGCAAATTGCAAGTGAAGGATAATATTCAGAAGTTGAAAATGGGAAACATATTCAAGGAAAATGAAAAGGAAATGTGTGAAACATGAAACAAAAAGTTCCAAAGTGTGTTTGACCAAAATGAAATCTTCAGAGAACCAGACACACAATAGGAATTCCAGAGAACAATATAGAGCACGTAGAGGTGTCTAGAGACGAAGTGGAAAAAATGCTCAAGAAGCTAAGAAAGAACAAAGCAGTTGGCCCAGATAGTTTCACCATGGGTTCTGAGAAAATGTGCACCTGAGCTCAGCATTCCACTTCAACTGATTTTTAAGGCATTTCTGTGTACAAGAGTCCTAGCAGATGTGTGGAAAAAGGCTAACATAGGTCCAATCTACAAAAGTGGCAGCAGGGAAGACCCCCTCAATTATAGAACTGTATCATTGACTAGTGTAATAGTCAAAATATTGGAAAACAATTAAAACTAAATGGTAGAACACCTGGAGAGAAATGATATAATATCAGACAGACAGTATGGTTTTCGATCTGGAAGATCCTGCATAACGAATTTACTGTTTCTATGAATGAGCCACTGAGATTTTACAGGAAAGAGATGGCTGGGTTGATTGCATCTATCTGGATCTAAAAAAAGGCTTTCAACAGAGTTCCACATAAGGTTATTCTGGAAATTGGAACATATTGGAGGAGTGACAGGTAGGCTTCTAACATTGATGAAAAACTTTCTAACATAAAAATGAGGGCAGTAATTAGAGGCAATGTATCGGACTGGAAAATTTCACAAGTGGAGTACCACAGGGTTCTTGCACCGGTAATGTTCATTGTCTACATAAATGATCTACCAGATGGAATACAGAATTATATGAATATGTTTGCTGATGATGCTAAGATAATAGGGAAGATAAGAAACTTAGATGCTTGTCATGGCCTTCAAGAAGACCTGGACAAAATAAGTGTGTGGAGCACCACTTGGCAAATTGAATTGAATGTGAATAAATGCCATGTTATGGAATGTGGAATAGGAGAACATAGACCCCACACAACCTATAAATTATGTGAGAAATCTTTAAAAAATTCTGATAAAGAAAGAGGTCTAGGGTTGGTTCTAGATAGTTTTCTATCACCTGGGGACCACATAAAGAATGTTGAGCAAGGAGCCTATGCTACATTTTCTAACTTCAGAATTGCTTTTAAATACATGGATGGCGAAATACTAAAGAAATTGTTCACGACTTTTGTTAGGGCAAAGCTGGAATATGCAGCAGTTGTGTGGTGCCTATATCTTAAGAAGCACATCAGCAAACTGGAAAAAGTGCAAAGACATGCTACTAAGTGGCTCCCAGAACTGAAAGGCAAGAGCTACGAGGAGAGGTTAGAGGCATTAAATACTAGTATGTCAAAACTAGAAGACAAGAAAAAAAGAGGTGATATGATCACTACATACAAAATAGTAACAGGAATTGATAAAATTGATAGGGAAGATTTCCTGAGACCTGGAACTTCAAGAACAAGAGGTCATATATTTAAACTAACTAAACAAAGATGCTGAAGAAACATAAGAAAATTCACTTTTGCAAATAGAGTGGTAAACTGTTGGAATAAGTTAGGTGAGAAGGTGGTGGAGGACAAAACCGTCAGTAGTTTGAAAGCGTTATATGACAGTGTGCTGGGTAGATGGGACACCACGAGCGTAGCTCTCATCCTGTAACTACACTTAGGTAATTACTAGTACAGTACTGTGTTTGTGCTTTATATCGGAATATGAAGTTGGTGTGTTATGAATGCTGAGTAATGCTCGTTACTGTTGACCATCACCTAGTCCTTCCCTGTTTTGAATTGCCCCCAAATACAGTACAGTAGAACCTCGAGTGATGACCGCCTCAAATGACGACCGATTTGGGTAACGAACGCCCCGATCGCTGACAATTCGTCTTGTTAGGCGACCGCTTGTTTGAATAACGTCAACATCACATGGTTGGGTCGCAGGCTGCTTCTCGCACATTCTCGGACGCCTCCGACGATGCAAATAAATTATTTTTCTTTGTTTAACTCTTAAAGATGCTATTGATGCTGGGATGTTGCAAAGCATTGACTTTTTTGTAGAAAAACAAAATGAATTCTTTTAAAGAAAGAACAAATGTTAAAAAGGTTCATTCGGTGTTTGTCAGGTAGGCTGCTCCATGTTTCTTAAATTAAAAAAAAAAAAAAAAATAACAGTTGAAACAATTTGAAAAATGAACAAATGCCATAAAGGTTCGTTCAGTGTTTGTCAGGTAGGTTGCTCCAGTATTGAGTATTAAATGAAAAATACAAAACAAATGGAACACATTTGAAACACAGATAGATTGTCATAATGGAGCAGCCTACCCGACAAACACTTAACAAACTTTTATGACATTTGTCCGTTTTTCAAATTGTTTCAGCTGTTTGTTTTTTATTTTTATTTATTTTTTTATTTAAGAAACATGGAACAGCCTACCTGACAAACACCGAACGAACCTTTTGCTATACAAAAAATTAAAAAAAAGTTAACAAATTTGAAGAAAGAAATATGTCATAAAAGTTTGTTCAGTGTATGTAGAGTAGGCTGCTCCATTATTTAAAACATCGAATATCATATTGATGTTTTTTGGTGGTATAACGGATTATTTCTATTTACATTCTTTTCAGTCGGGAACTTCGTTTTGAATGACATCAGTTTCACATGATGACCACGGTGCCGGAACGGATTAAAGTCGTTATTCGAGGTTCCACTGTATTATCATGGGGAGAAAGAAACACATTTAAATACTGTACAGAAAACTGGTCTACTGCATTCCAACAGGAACAATTACAATAACTAAAATTTAGATCATGGCTCCAGATTATTGCAGGACTGACTTAATAATTCTACTATTGCTTAATGTCTTATTTGTCCTTGTGTTTTATCAACAAATATGCTGATACAGTACAATATAGGTATTATTTCCCATGCTGTGGATTCCCAGCTGCTGCTTTAGGATATAAAGCTCTGGCATGTAATAAAAGATGGCCATCGTTGTCAGGAGGGCAGCCAAGTACAGTGCACACGTATTACACCAAAGGCTTGATTGAGGGCTAGTATGCCAACCTTAATGTCACCAATATCTTCTATATAATTGACACCCCTAGTGAGGCTTGAGAGAACCTCCAATACCATTGCTATCAGTCTGATAGAAAACCCTTATTCAGTATCCATGAAAGTGATAGTAATTTAGAAGTGCTATACTGTATTAGTGAACATTACTAGACAGTATATTGACCCACTGTATGGTGAGTATAATTAGCAAGTGCCAGATGTGCTTGTGAAAAGTGGAAAACTTAACAGGTATATGTGGAGCAAAATTAAGCTAACATAATTGAATATTTAGTGGCAAGTAAGGGATCCAGTGTGAATATATATATTTAGGAAGCGAAATGTGTGGATGTTATTGCATGTATGAGAATAAGGAGTAGCAGGCATTGTATACCTTTCTTAAAGTGTGCTCGGTTTCATTAAGTGTCAATGACACTAATTGCTATCCTGGTTACCTACATTATCCCAAGAAGGGCTAACTAATCGTAACAGCTAATACGAAGATAATTTACCAGTCTCTTACAGCTACTGGTACACAACCATGGTCCCGTTACTGATATTGTACCACTTTGTATGAAAATTTTCAGGAGTCTCCATAAACAAATTTAATATTTTAACTGCTTCTTGCTCAAAAATTTTCACCATCCATCACTCTATGTACACTGGAGAACAGGAATTGGGCCTAAACAGAGTAATCTAATCTAAGCTTAAAAAATATAAATGTGCAGTTCATGAATAAACAAAATCTAGCAACCACTATGCATTTACAAGTGTATATCCCAAATTTTGGGTTTCATCTGATGTTTTAATTTTTCAGTAAACTCACACACTGTACTGTGCATCTTATGGTGTTTATGATGCAGCTTCCCAGCCAGCAAGCAGCAGGTGATGTAATAACTCCATTTGTTAGTTTTGTGGTTATATTTTTGGACTGCCATTGAAGGCTTGTTTGGCTTTATGATGAGTAGTGTGCTTTATCATGTGTTTGAAGCCCAACTTGCTGGCTACTTAGAAATTAAAAACAAAATACTGTTTAAGTTTAATTTCTAATATAGGAACTTTTTAATGATCAGAATTGGAACAGAACAGATATCCATGGGCTGGAATGGCACATTCCCTAAATTTATCAGAGGGCCACCATCTCGGGTGGCCTTGATGGGCACAGGAAGCCAATGGATTTTTTCCAGTTCAGTTTGTAACTAAAGCAGTCTTTACATTTATATCTCCAGTTAAAAGGCTTTATTTACTGGGTTTATTAATTTATGGGTGAAAGAGCATCTGTAACACCATAAATGGTTTTATTGAATAGTTCACATACAAAGAGTCAGCCACACAGGATATTGGTGGTGCCAGGCAGTTGGCCTTAGCAATTCAAAAGTAACACCTTTTCAAGTGCTAATTGTTCACACGTTGAGTAGAGGTCAGGTCGCATCAGGGACCTCGCTCTCTGCTAAACTGATAATTGCAAACAGGTGACTGCGTTGTTTGCATCAAACAAGCCTCTCTCTAGGTTGATACCTGGTTGATGGGGTTCTGGGAGTTCTTCTACTCCCCAAGCCCGGCCCGAGGCCAGGCTCGACTTGTGAGAGTTTGGTCCACCAGGCTGTTGCTTGGAACGGCCCGCAGGCCCACATACCCACCACAGCCCGGTTGGTCCGGCACTCCTTGGAGGAATAAATCTAGTTTCCTCTTGAAGATGTCCACGGTTGTTCCGGCAATATTTCTTATGCTTGGTGTGGTAGGAAGATAGCCAAAGGCTATCTTGCTGTTAGGCGGAGTATGGCTCCTGGTTCCCCTTTAAATACCCGTGGAATTGTACATCTGGACATTAGGAGAATAGCAATAGATAGATCGCTAGACCAGAGAGAGGTTCCAGCAGCCCAGACTGGTCGTCCCAGACCGGGTGGGGACTCTGTCATCTGTACCATCCCCCCTCCTCTACAAAACCTAGTCTCAGAGACTGGTGACTAAACTGTAAGGTTGACATATATTGTGTTTTCCAACTTGTGTGATTTTCATGGGTCAGTCAGCCGTAGTTGTTCTCAGTTTCTTGTGTGGTGACTCAAATTTGTGTATTAATGTTGTCATTTGAACATCAGGTGATATGGTTGAATAATGATACCTATATGAGTGAATATATAAATGATTAATTTACTTTTTAAATTGTCTTTAATTCTGATCCCTAGATCTTGGATTTTTCTATGAATAATGACAGGTAGAGTGGAGTGCACTTTGAAGATTGACTTTTTTGTCATATCATATAACCAAAAGTTTTTTGGTTATATGATTTATATTCATACAGTGGTTATGTGATAACATCAGATAATATTGTTGTACCAAGAAATTCCATTCCTTGTCTTTTTAATATATTTAACTTGAATGGATGATAGCAGCACTTTCTACTCTTCTACTTTCCTCCTGGATCTCGTTCTAAACTTTCCGTTTCCCCTGACCAATCTTCCTCACTCCTCCCTTCCACCTCTCTACCTCCCTCACCCTATGAGTTTTCTTCCTTTCATTATTTAATTTTTGACACATTACACATTTCCTGTTGTCTGTCCTACATTGTGGCTTTTTGAGGGAATGCTGAAGCACAAGATTTGTTAGAATTAGTTGATTACTGCTTCCTTAACCACTGCATTGTGCACCTGGTTTTGGCAAAAATGTCTTAATGCAATTGTTAGGGACATATTTTTGTTGTTTTTATAAATATTCAGGTAAAGTTAATGTCAAAATGTTTCCAAACTCAACTACAGTATTTCCATTTCAAAACACAAAGAGTAATGGAAACATTAAAAACATTAAAATATAGCCTAATTAAAAAATTAGCACAATTCTTAGAGCGCCTAAAGGCGCTTTGTGCAGTGCAGTGCAACATATAGCCAACACAGGAGCAAGTTAAGAAATGGTGATTGCAAGGAAATCAGATTGACTATAGTATGGAAAGGTTTGGTGTACAAAAACTATAAGGGGGCCAGAATTCTATAAAGCTGAGTTTGAGGTATTAAAGAGTTTCCCGGGATGGGATGATTAGGCATATGTAAACATGGAAGGTATAAGTGTACAGTACAAGTAATGGAAGGGACAAGTGTACAGTACAAGTTTAAGAAGGTATAAGTGTACAGTACAAGTATAAGAAGGCGTAAGTGTACAGAATACAGGTAATGGAAAGTATAAGTGTACAGTACAGGTAAAAGTGTTCTCAAGATGTATCGGGTGTCTAGGCATGAGTGAGTTACATGACAATAGATTACAATGTATAATAATAATAATACAGTATTAATAATTTTTATTCAAAAGAATGTGTGTACAAAGAACATAAGAGTAATGTACTATTGTAGGGACAGGAGTTACACATACTAATGAAGCCACTATTATGCAAGGCATTTTGGGCAAATAAATGTACAGTACAGTATATTCAAACTATAACTATTATAATTTTTTTGGCAACTAGTATGCCATATGAATTATGTCGAATAACAATGACCCAATATGGATAGCCATAGGACTAAAGTGCTTTTCAGAAAAAGGGCCATGGTATATACCTATGTATTAAGACTGGCAAAGTCTAGAATAACGATTTGTCTAACTATAACAAATCATTACCTACATTTTGAAATATAGTAGCAAGGATATTTAATATTTTCAACAAAATATCAAGGAGTTTGAAAAGAGAACAGTACACAACTGCCCCTGGCACTAACAAAACCAAGTCAGGTCAGCAAATGGGTCCAGGTTGGGTGAACATGTGAGCATGTGATGGGGAGACCATCTGTTTGAATAAAACAAAGCTTGTTTATATATCTTGGACATGAACTGAAGTTAATTACAACTAGTTGGCTGAATGCTGTACTTATTTATCAATACTTTGCAAATCTTTTATCTGCAGATAACAAGATACAAGAAATCACTGATGGGTCCCAGCCTGCTAGGCCTAAGGTGAGCATTGGTAGAATTCTTCCATAAATATACTATTAAGTGGCTATAATGTACATGGACCAAATGAATACAAATATACACTTTATATTATTGTATTTTCTTTGTTGTCTGCACCAATTCCTAGCTAAATATATTTATGCATGGAAAATAATGCATGTACTATACAATACAATACAATACAATACAATACAATTTTATTTAGGTAAGGTACATACATACAATAAATATTTACAAGGATTGTTTAACTTATAGGTATAGCTAGTACATACAATGCCTAAAGCCACTATTACGCAAAGCGTTTCGGGCATAATTATAATTATTACTATATTAGTTTCCTCTTGTTCTTAGTTATTAGGTAAAACTGTTTCTTAAATTAATTAATGTATTTAATGATGTAAAGTATATTGGGAGCAAAGTTAATCCCAGATTGACTGCAAATGTAATATAAATATGTGTAGTTCTAAATGTAGCTTGACCCCCCCCTCTAAATTATTGTAAATCTATTTTCCCCACATTACAAAGAAAGCTTCTGCAAAATCTCAATTTCAACTCTGTGACATGTTAGACATTTACTACATAAGTGATGGACAGCCTGACTTGAAAGCTTAAATTTATATTAATAATTCTGCAGTTGTATGTACTGGAAGTATGAGCCTAGGTTTGTGTTGTGGACACGTATACCACGAGTCGTCAAATGCCTTACCAGGTACAGTACCTTTATGAGGGTAACATTGTATCTTGCAGGGGAAGTTGACTCGTCCAAAGCCTTGCTATTTATGGACAACAGCTGATGTACAGAAATGGTTCAAGCGTCATTGTAGTGAATACTTTCAGCTCTACTCCAATCTTCTTATTAAGGTTTGTAAATGGATTTATCATTGTTACTGTTAATCTCATTTTTAACCCATGTACACAGAGCACATGCTACAGAAAATTAAGAACAATATAAAACGGATTCACAAATCAGGGACAATGAAAACGTAAATGTACTTGGTATTTCCTGTGGGGAAAAAACTCTAGCGCAGTATAATTATACTCTGGAACCTCAAAAATCCAGAAAGTCAATCTGGATCCTTTAAAGATTTTTATAAAAATCCTGATTAATTTTAGTCTGTTTTAGTTTTTTCACAATGTAAATTGTAGAATATATACTTTTTTGCAATTTTAGTATTAACAATGCCGAATTAGTCCCAATTTTTTTCACACATTGAAAATTCATGAAAATTAAAATGCCATTTCCATATTACGAGAATTATTGTAAAATCCATATGTAGCTTTTAAGTTTTTTTTTTTTTGTTCTAGTGTTCTGTAATTTTTATTTTACTCTGTACTATTGAATTGATCTTGAACAGAAGCTGAAAAACAGACCTACTGAACACTAGTAAAGAAGGTAGAAATAGCAACATTGTGCACATCGTATGTACATGTTTACACATCGCTGATCCACCCAATGTGTAACCTGAGAAAACCTAGCCTAGGACATTGCACTACGGAAATTGACAACCAGGTGGATCACACCCAGAGAAGGACAGAAAAGGCAGAAGAGGGTTTGCTAGAACAAAATTAACAAAACCCTTTCTTGCAGCAAAGAGCATAAACTTTGCAAACGTGACTACCTGAAACCATACATTGAAAAAAAGAATTCTTTGATTGGAGGATGCAAAAAAAATAGGGGCGAGGACAAAAAGTAAAGAATCCAATCCAATGATGATCAGGTAAGGCAAGTTCCAGCAATAATGAAGAAATAAAAATGGGAACCACATAAAATGCAAACCATATTATAGAAAGTGCAACATAAGACCTGTCGAGCAATCATGTCAGAAGACCTTACTTTTAAAAATACATTTAAGTATCCTTCAAACCACTAGAAAAATTACAGAATGAATAACAAAACTTTTCAAACAAGAGATTCTAAATTAGTGATAGTACTGTATTTCAGTGTTATCTAAAGTGTACTAATGTTCCACACTAAAAAGTCCATAGCTGGAGACCTGAAGAATGTTCAGGTAACTTACTAGTGTACCTGTATCCATTCAATAAACTACTGACTGATCAAAATTATTTGGGACTGCTTAAAATCCCTCGGTGCTCTAGGGAGCACCGAGGCAGGACAGGAACCATAATTTACACTTGGGAAAACTATTATTAGGAACTGGTCCCAAATTGGCACATTGAAGTAATTTCATAGAAAACCAGGAGGCATGACAGAAGGTGCAAAGTAGAACCAATGAAGATTGGCAACACAGTAGGTACTATAAAAGACAATTCCATAAACACTAATGGCCAAAGTCTCTTACACCCTCCCTCCAACTATATGGGGATATATAGTAACTAGCAGACCACTTCTGTTGTTCAAAAGGTAACTTTGCTAAACACATTCAAAGTGTACCTGATCAACTGGACTGTGATTCATGTAAGACTATATTCAGCAACATTTAATAGCCTAGTTGACCAGACCACCAACCAGGAGACCTGGTTCCAGTAGGGATATTGATCCTTGGAAACACATTAAGGTAACATCTCTTGTCTGTATGCTCCCCCCCCCCCCCTTAACTCTTATGATGACACCAGATTCTGGTCCTGGTGTTTGTTAGATTTACAAGTTGAAAAGCCTGGTAGTTTGGTGAATATTAGAGAGCTACTGAGAGCATCCCAGAATGCCAAGTTAACTTCCCCCCCCCCCTTTTTTTTATAAAAAAAAAGGCTACATATATTTCTTAGTGATATTTAGCACCCTCTAATTATTCCACACATTTGATGCTACGTAGCCTTCCCAGCTTGGTGTCTTGTTTTGATAATTACTTACAAGGTATATTTGTCTATGCATTTTTTTTTAGTTGTAACTAGTACAGTAATTTATCTGCCATTGTACCCCTCTAAATGTGTTCAACATTATGGTCCCACAGCATGACATAACGGGGAAGGCCCTAGTGCGGATGAGTGAAGGGACTCTAATGAGGATGGGTATCAAGCATCCTGAACATGTTGAAGCCATTTGGCGGGAGATCCTCAAACAACGCCTCAAAGCAGATATCCAGGAAATGAAGGAAATTGAAATGAGTGCAATTGTACCCTAAAGGTAACTAAATACCTTAGTTACAATTTCAGATATGTTTAACGTACCTTTTACCTTACACAGACAGTCATCCGTATTTTATAGATATAGAAGATAGACAATGATTAAATCAAGTAATAAAAACTTGACTAGCGGACGAAGACAAAGATGGGGTACATACAGCCCGCCGCCTGCCAAGAATCCGAGCCCTGGCGAAATCGTCATTTTTCACAAAACTCAAAATCAAAACCAGCCATAGAATCGTTTTGAAAATGGTACCATTGTGTTTACCACAGCAATTTACCTTTCTTTCTGTAAAGGCTTTCTTTGCTAATTTTAAATATTAACGCCTATACAGCCATATTTACTGAGATACAGCCACCTCAAATATCAAACCTATCATCGTGTTTTCTCAACAAATTACTAAGGAAAATGAGTTTTAAAAAATGTAATAATAATCAAAATGAGCTAAATAATAAATGGATAATCAAAATAACATTATATCAATATTCCTCATGTATTTAGAGACTACTATGCATGGTGCGTATATGGGCATATGTATGCTACTTATAAAGGCATTTGTATGGTACCTATATTGGCATATGAATGGTACTTATATGGGCATTTATGGTACTTATAAGGGCATATGTATGGTAGTTATAAGGGTATATGTATGATACTTATAAGAACATATGTATTGTTCTTATAAGGGCATAAGTATGGTACCTTTTTGGGCATATGTATGTTACTTATAAGAGCTTTTGTATGGTACCTCAATGGGCATATGTATTGTTCTTATATGGGCATATGTATGACACTTATATGGGATTGAGTATGGTACCTTTATGGGTATGTGTTTGGTACTTATGTACTTACGTACCTCTATGGTACTTACGTACCTTTTACCTTACACAGACAGTCATCCGTATTTTATAGATATAGAAGATAGACAATGATTAAATCAAGTAATAAAAACTTGACCAGCGGACGAAGACAAAGATGGGGTACATACAGCCCGCCGCCTGCCAAGAATCCGAGCCCTGGCGAAATCGTCATTTTTCACAAAACTCAAAATCAAAACCAGCCATAGAATCGTTTTGAAAATGGTACCATTGTGTTTACCACAGCAATTTACCTTTCTTTCTATAAAGGCTTTCTTTGCTAATTTTAAATATTAACGCCTATACAGCCATATTTACTGAGATACAGCCACCTCAAATATCAAACCTATCATCGTGTTTTCTCAACAAATTACTAAGGAAAATGAGTTTTAAAAAATGTAATAATAATCAAAATGAGCTAAATAATAAATGGATAATCAAAATAACATTATATCAATATTCCTCATGTATTTAGAGACTACTATGCATGGTGCGTATATGGGCATATGTATGCTACTTATAAAGGCATTTGTATGGTACCTATATTGGCATATGAATGGTACTTATATGGGCATTTATGGTACTTATAAGGGCATATGTATGGTAGTTATAAGGGTATATGTATGATACTTATAAGAACATATGTATTGTTCTTATAAGGGCATAAGTATGGTACCTTTTTGGGCATATGTATGTTACTTATAAGAGCTTTTGTATGGTACCTCAATGGGCATATGTATTGTTCTTATATGGGCATATGTATGACACTTATATGGGATTGAGTATGGTACCTTTATGGGTATGTGTTTGGTACTTATGTACTTACGTACCTCTATGGTACTTACGTACCTTTTACCTTACACAGACAGTCATCCGTATTTTATAGATATAGAAGATAGACAATGATTAAATCAAGTAATAAAAACTTGACCAGCGGACGAAGACAAAGATGGGGTACATACAGCCCGCCGCCTGCCAAGAATCCGAGCCCTGGCGAAATCGTCATTTTTCACAAAACTCAAAATCAAAACCAGCCATAGAATCGTTTTGAAAATGGTACCATTGTGTTTACCACAGCAATTTACCTTTCTTTCTATAAAGGCTTTCTTTGCTAATTTTAAATATTAACGCCTATACAGCCATATTTACTGAGATACAGCCACCTCAAATATCAAACCTATCATCGTGTTTTCTCAACAAATTACTAAGGAAAATGAGTTTTAAAAAATGTAATAATAATCAAAATGAGCTAAATAATAAATGGATAATCAAAATAACATTATATCAATATTCCTCATGTATTTAGAGACTACTATGCATGGTGCGTATATGGGCATATGTATGCTACTTATAAAGGCATTTGTATGGTACCTATATTGGCATATGAATGGTACTTATATGGGCATTTATGGTACTTATAAGGGCATATGTATGGTAGTTATAAGGGTATATGTATGATACTTATAAGAACATATGTATTGTTCTTATAAGGGCATAAGTATGGTACCTTTTTGGGCATATGTATGTTACTTATAAGAGCTTTTGTATGGTACCTCAATGGGCATATGTATTGTTCTTATATGGGCATATGTATGACACTTATATGGGATTGAGTATGGTACCTTTATGGGTATGTGTTTGGTACTTATGTACTTACGTACCTCTATGGTACTTACGTACCTTTTACCTTACACAGACAGTCATCCGTATTTTATAGATATAGAAGATAGACAATGATTAAATCAAGTAATAAAAACTTGACCAGCGGACGAAGACAAAGATGGGGTACATACAGCCCGCCGCCTGCCAAGAATCCGAGCCCTGGCGAAATCGTCATTTTTCACAAAACTCAAAATCAAAACCAGCCATAGAATCGTTTTGAAAATGGTACCATTGTGTTTACCACAGCAATTTACCTTTCTTTCTATAAAGGCTTTCTTTGCTAATTTTAAATATTAACGCCTATACAGCCATATTTACTGAGATACAGCCACCTCAAATATCAAACCTATCATCGTGTTTTCTCAACAAATTACTAAGGAAAATGAGTTTTAAAAAATGTAATAATAATCAAAATGAGCTAAATAATAAATGGATAATCAAAATAACATTATATCAATATTCCTCATATATTTAGAGACTACTATGCATGGTGCGTATATGGGCATATGTATGCTACTTATAAAGGCATTTGTATGGTACCTATATTGGCATATGAATGGTACTTATATGGGCATTTATGGTACTTATAAGGGCATATGTATGGTAGTTATAAGGGTATATGTATGATACTTATAAGAACATATGTATTGTTCTTATAAGGGCATAAGTATGGTACCTTTTTGGGCATATGTATGTTACTTATAAGAGCTTTTGTATGGTACCTCAATGGGCATATGTATTGTTCTTATATGGGCATATGTATGACACTTATATGGGATTGAGTATGGTACCTTTATGGGTATGTGTTTGGTACTTATGTACTTACGTACCTCTATGGTACTTACGTACCTTTTACCTTACACAGACAGTCATCCGTATTTTATAGATATAGAAGATAGACAATGATTAAATCAAGTAATAAAAACTTGACCAGCGGACGAAGACAAAGATGGGGTACATACAGCCCGCCGCCTGCCAAGAATCCGAGCCCTGGCGAAATCGTCATTTTTCACAAAACTCAAAATCAAAACCAGCCATAGAATCGTTTTGAAAATGGTACCATTGTGTTTACCACAGCAATTTACCTTTCTTTCTGTAAAGGCTTTCTTTGCTAATTTTAAATATTAACGCCTATACAGCCATATTTACTGAGATACAGCCACCTCAAATATCAAACCTATCATCGTGTTTTCTCAACAAATTACTAAGGAAAATGAGTTTTAAAAAATGTAATAATAATCAAAATGAGCTAAATAATAAATGGATAATCAAAATAACATTATATCAATATTCCTCATGTATTTAGAGACTACTATGCATGGTGCGTATATGGGCATATGTATGCTACTTATAAAGGCATTTGTATGGTACCTATATTGGCATATGAATGGTACTTATATGGGCATTTATGGTACTTATAAGGGCATATGTATGGTAGTTATAAGGGTATATGTATGATACTTATAAGAACATATGTATTGTTCTTATAAGGGCATAAGTATGGTACCTTTTTGGGCATATGTATGTTACTTATAAGAGCTTTTGTATGGTACCTCAATGGGCATATGTATTGTTCTTATATGGGCATATGTATGACACTTATATGGGATTGAGTATGGTACCTTTATGGGTATGTGTTTGGTACTTAT